AAGGAGTGTCCAACAAAAGGTCTCCTTTCCAAGAGTGGATGTAAAACTGATTTCATAAACAGAGACCATGTGAAGGCTTCTCATCCAGCAGGGGCTTATGGCAAGCATATGGTATATGGATAAAAATGTTAAGACACACCTCTTAATCCAGGGGTGGTCCAATCTTATCCGCAAAGGGCCGGTGTATATGCAGGTTTTTGGAATAACCTGTAGGTCAGCTGTTCAAACCCAGGTGTGAGGACTCTTCAGTCAATCAGGCCTCTAATTAGTAATCTAATTAGGACTTGCAGCGAAAACCCGCATACACACCGGCCCTTTGCGGATATGATTGGCCACCCCTGTCTTAATCATCGAATTCAGGTGTGTCATTCAGACCCATTGCCACAGGTGTATAAAATCAAGCACCTTGGCATGCAGGTTTACAAACTTTGTGAATGGGTCATTCTGAAGAGCTCAGTGTACTGTCACAGGATGCCAACTTTGCAATAAGTCAGTTCATGTAATTTCTTCCCTGCAATATATTGTTACAGTCAACTGTATGTGGTATTATTGCAAAGTGGAAGCATTTAGGAACAGAAACTTAGCCATGAAGTGGCAGACCATGTAAAGTAGAGAGTTGCCTAGTGCTGAGGCGCATAGTGTGTAAAAATTGCCAATGCTCTGTTGACTCAGTAACTACAGAGTTCCAAACTTCCTCTTTAACCCCAGCACAAAAAACTGTGCGTTGGGAGCTTCATGGAATGGGCATCCATTGCTGAGCAGCTGCATGCAAGCCTCACATCACCAAGCGCAATGCCAAGTGTCGAATGGAGTGGTGTAAAGTACGCCACCGCTGGAGGCTGGAGCAGTGGAAACATGTTCTGTGCAGTGACGAATCATGATTTGGCGGATGCCAGGAGAACATTACCTGCCTAACTGCATTGTGCCAACTGTAAATTTGGTAGAGGAGGGTTAATGGAACTGGGCTGTTGGGTTTGGGTCCTTAGAGTCAGTGAAGGGAACTCTTAATGCTTTAACATACCAAGACATTCTGGACAATTCTATGCTTCCAAGTTTGTGGGAACAGTTTGGGGAAGTCCCCAGTGCACAAAGCAAGGTCCATAAAGGCATGTTTGGGTTAGTTTGGTGTGGAAGAACTTGAGTGGCCCACACAGAGCCCTGAACACTTTTGGACTAGAATGGTGATTGCGAGCCAGGCCTTCACGCCCAACAGCAGTGCCTGAAGTCACAAACACTCTTCTGAGTGAATGGGCAAAACGTTCCCAGAAGAGTGGCAGCTATTATATCTGCAAAGGGGGGACCAACTCCATATTAATGCCTGTGGATTTAGAATGGGATGTCATAACAGTTCCTGTGGGTGTAATGGCCAGATGTCCCAATACTTTTGTCCATAAAGTGTACCATAAAGTAGTGATCACCAACTGGTGGATTCTGGTCTTTATTTGAACCAAACTACAATGGAATCCAGGTTGTGCATTCAATTCTCCCTCTGCTTGGTAAATTTTACCACTGGGAGCATTAATCATGGCCCCTAAAGGAAAATCCCCACTCAGAATGAAAGGTGGGAGTGCTGTTAATGCAATATAAACAGTGACAGTGCAATGGCATTGCACCTATTTAAAGGGCCCCCACAGAGGAACATTCTGGAACGGGGCAGCACTGCAGCAGGCCAAAATATGTGGTAAAAATGGAAAATTACAATTGGGTGTAATGGTCAGTGGTTTTGACAAGTACTACTTATCATTACGGTTACAGCCTGCATGTGCATGTACACACATGCACGCACGCACATGCACACACATGGTACTCCCCTAGCTATGCCAAAATATGCGACTCCGTTTTTGTGCGTGTGCACATTTTTTTTTCTCAATGACCTTTCCAGCACAGTTTGAATCTTTAAATTTGAGGCACTGAGGCTACATCAGGAACAAAAGCAAAATTATGGGTCTGGCTGGTCTCTCGAAGAGGCGCTTGACCCCGGTGTGTGGTTTCCCCCGGCCCAAGGACCCAGGGGAGAGGTGGGGAGAGGTATTTGCGTGGATGGGCCTGCATCTGAAGCGAACCCAACCACAGCTAATTTGAACGTGGCATTTGGGGTGGGGGCCACGATCTGACCTAGAGGACCACGGACCATAAGCCACAGCGTCCTACAGTTCCGGCTCTTCTCCCGTCACGGATAAGTGCCGCGCTCGTTGTCTCCTAAATCTTGGCCGACATCTGAAGCACTGAGCTCTCCCATTTCCTCAGGCATACCGCTCCCAGTTTGGCATCCTATGAACAGGGGGAGCTCCAACATATGATGTTCGTTGCACCCCTTGTCTGTGCCCCACAATGAAAGACTCTTTGGTGTTAGGGTTGAGGAGAGAAAAGCATTGTGGGAAAAGCCGAGCGCTCCCTTATGAGTGGAAGAAATGGCCTGGGTGCTTTGAAATGGAGGGATGAGGTTGATGGCCACATGAAGGAGCGCAAGCCGCTCCAGCATCCTGAATTGCGGACAGTGCTGAAGCACGCCATTTCCAATATCAAACCGTAGCAATAACAATGGCAAAAAAAAAAAACAGGCCTGAGAATGGGGCTCCTCTTGAGGATAAGACTTGCGGCTTTGACTCAAACCGTGTGGTCTTCCTATCTATTTATAGTCTGCGGGTGACCACCGTACAATTAAGCATATTATACATTACCACGGAAACAGAACGCAGAGCTCTTGTGAATGGGAAAGCCTTCCGCTCGTTCACCTCTCACACGCTCTACCCATCATGCCCTGGGGGGTCGCCCTGAGTGTGCGATATGAATATCATCACAGTGATTCCACAAGACAGTCTTGTTTACCGACGTCATGCAGACCTTATTTCCTTTCATGGAAACTGCACCGCAGAGATTCAGACAAAGCAGACTGTGCCCAATAATCCGTGGTGGCCCCATCCTAGTGAGGCCCGGCCTGGGTCCCCTTAAGGTTGCAGCGCTGTCTGGAAAACACCCATAACCACAGCAAGGGGCGCTCTGCAGTTTGCACCCCCCTTCCACAGCGGGTGTCACTCTGGTGACTGTCTCTGGGGCAGTATCCTCTTTCAATCTGCTGCAGAAGGAGCAGCTGAATGAAAGGTTGAATACAGCCACATTTTCAAAAAAGCTGTACATAAAAACAGAATGCAATGATTTGCAAATTGCAAATTTGATGCCAGCAACACGTTTCACAGAAGTTGGGACAGGAGCAACAATAACTATAAAAGTTGTATAATGCTAAAACAAAACAGCTGGTTGAATATCTCACAACTAATTTGTGAGAGGTTAATTGGTAATAGGTCAGTATGATTATTAGGCTTAAAAAGAGCCTTTTAGAAAGGCAGAGTCTCTGTGCAGTGAAGATGGGGAGAGGTTCACCACTCTGTGAAAGACTACGTGGGCAGATAAATTGTTGCACTAAGAAATCTATTCCGCAACGTAATATTGCAAAGAATTTGGGAATTTCATCATCTACAATACATAATACCATTAAAAAATTCTGAGAATCCAGAGAGATCTCTGTAGGCAAGGGATAAGGCCGAAAACCAATACTGGCTAGCCATGATGCTTGGGTCCTCAGCTGGCATTGCATAAAAACAGGCACGATTCTATAGTAAAGCTCACTGAATGGGCTCAGGAACACTTCCAAAAACCATTGTCTATGAACACAGTTCATCGCTACATCCACAAATACAGGATGAAACGCTACCACACACAGAAGAAACCATATCTAAACATGATCCAGAAATGCTGCCGACTTCTCAGGGCCTGAGCTCATTTAAGATGGATTGAGGCAAATGGAAAATTGTCCTGTGGTCTGAGGAATCAAAATTTCAAATTCTTTTTGGAAATCATGGACACTGCCTCCTCTGGATTAAAGAGGAGAGGGACCATCTAGCTTGTTATCACCAGACAGTTCAAAAGCCAGCATCTGTGATGGTATGCGGTGCATTAGTGCCCATGGCTCAGGTAGCTTGCACATCTGCGAAGGCACCATTAATGCTAAACAATATACAGTATACAGGTTTTGGAGCAACATATGCTGCCATCCAGATAATGTCACACTATGCTTATATTACAACAGCATGGCTCTGTAGTAGAGGAGTCTGGGTGCCTGCCCCCAGTCCAGACCTGTCACCCACTGAAAACATTTGGCCCATCTTGAAACAAAAAAATATGACAAAGGAGACCCCCAAGTGTTGAGCAGCTGAAATCCTATATCAGCAAGAACGGGACAACATTTCACTTTGAAAACTCTAGTTCCCAAATGTTTACAGAATATTGTTAAAAGGAGAGGCGATGCAACACAGTAGTAAACATGCCCCTTTCCCAGCTTTTTTTAAATGTGCCGGCGGCATCAAATTCAAATTGAACATATATTTGAAATTTGATATGTTGCCTTTGTTCTATTTGCAATTACGTATGGGTTCATGCTGATATGGGTGTCTATGATTTGTAAATCATTGCATTCTGTTTTTATTTACATTTACACAGTGCCCCAACTTTTTTGGAAATGTGGCTGTAGTAGAAAGCAGCAAGGCGATGCAGATACGAAAGTATTTCATCCCTGGAGTCCAGAGAGTCACTCTGAGCTGCTCCGTAAAGCCACAGACCGGGACCGGACATTAAGAGAGTTTGTCTGATAATCAGAGTGGAGTAGAACAGCACCCGCAGCCCTCATTCTGGGCTCCACCAGTTCCAACCCTAAAAATGTGAGCCAATGGCTAAAAGACTGCAGGTTCAAGTGCCCCAGGAATAAGAGTTCTCGCTGGTATGGCCATAAACCAAAACAAAAAGCCACACACACCTTATTCTACTGTCACTGTCACTCAGTAACTGCTCGTCAGATATATACAGGAACTCAATCAAGAATTTCAAGAATTAGCAGTTTTCACACAGTCCATAATCTAATAGCCATTATCCTTTTACCCCCATTAGGATGGAGGTGAGCAACTAAAATCAAAGCACGAGCAGCTCGAGGAAACAGATGGGCTCACCCTCAAACTGGCGGTCTGCGTTCTCCAGCTGAAGCTTTAGGAGCATGGAAAGATGACTGAGTGACACTTTAATGAATCCCAGATCCCTGGTGAAGAAAAACAAGCATATTTAATTAGGATCAGACTAATCTGTGATTCCAATATCTGGGTAAAAACAAATTTTTTTATTGGGAGGGAAAGGAAAATTAGTTTCAAATGCACATCTTCAGGCCCTAAATCTGTTCTGGCAGCAGGTCTGGAGGGATGGGTGCTTGATCCAGGGGTACAGAGCCATGCTGGATTAGAAAGGCCACCTTGAGCAGTAGACTATTGGCAGGAAAGCTTTCCGGTGGTCCTTAAAATGCTGCCCCTGAGGGTCTGGGGGTTATATATACTGTAGACTGCCTGTCCATACGGTGGCCAGAGATTTTAATGGTCCTGAGGTGAGGAGATACACATGTGGTCCGTGTGTGACCACGACTGAGTTTCTGCATGGCTGTGTGTGTGTGTGTGTGTGTGTGTGTGTGTGTGTGTGTGTCACAGCGGGTTGAGGGTGGCAACATCTGGCGAAATACACAGTGGAGCTTTTAAGGAACAATTACATATGAACATCATTAAATCAAAATAAAAAAGAAAACAAACACACAGAACAAAAAAATTCATTTCTTCACACGCACATAAACTAAAAACACATTGCCGTCAATTTGCTTGTCAACATTTTCTTGAATGTTGAAGTTTCTTGAATTCCATAAAAAAGGACAATGTCCTACTGTATTACCAAAGGTTAACAGGTGATTAATTCTTCTAATGCTTAACCAACCTGAAAGTTACATCACTGGGCATGAGTTTGTTCTGAGTTCAGGACTTTACTTGACTGAGATTATTAAAGAAAGAGTTTGCTTGACAAAGATGGGTACAGAAGGTCATGATATGCTGATCACCATGCAGTAGGTCAACCGGGGGTCAACAGTGCCCCCTTATAACATTCCCCACCTTAAATCTTCCACTGATTAACATACCATCCCGAAATGAGAGAACACGTGATATTTTGTGAATACAAACACAGCTAAAGCACCTTTAGGTCCAATATGTCAAAGCCTAGCATTTCGAGGCACAGTTGGTGAACAGTTCACCATGTGACGACACAAAAATGCTGTTAATGTCTGCAATACCCGCAGTTTCAGAATCAATATCATAGCTGGAATATTCAGTGTCTGGAGAGCAGGAAGAATGAGGGAGATCACTCACTACATATTTAATACATATTCAGAAATTGAGCTCAACAGAACTGGAGGCATTACTCTTATCACTAGTCATGGCTGCTGTCACATGTCCTTCATAATGCTAGATGACATGAGAAACGTGTACTTTTAACTCTGGCTTCCGGAGAGCAGGCGCTGACAGTCAAATGCTGTGCCAAACTGCATTTTCCCCCATCAGACATCAGACGGGGCAACAAAAGCAGTGAGGGGCTCAAGCACCCCCGCCTCAAGCGGCCACAGAGACACAGACGGCCTGCACTTAATTGTGGTGAGGAGAACATGAGTGAGAGTCATTCCATTTTTCATTTCATCTCCAAGACAAAGAAGCTGTGGAAAAAAAAAAGGCAGTCGTCTACGCTGGCTTCATTTTCCATGGGAAACGGCCACAAAATGAAAAAGTATTGTGAGTCACTGCTGAGGAATTTGAGAAATACCCCAGAAAGTCAGAGTTTTTTTGAAAAGCCCCTGTTGGAAACAAACAGATGCAGAAAAGGAGGCCAGCTTCTGATAGAGGCAACGAGAACATGCCTGACTCTGGCTCCAAGACCAGGCATCAAAGATAGGGCAAGACTCAAGGTTTAGGGGGGGTTTGAGACCACTTCAAAAAACCAAGTCACTGCGCTGGTTTTATTGAGAAAAGAGCCCTTTGTTTACAGGAAAGATCAATATTTGATCAAAATCCTAACTGAAGATATGGAAGACGAAAAAGAGTTCTCAGTCTGAACCACAACCACCACCTGCCCTGACCCTCAAACTGTTGTCAGGAGGGGCTAGGCGACATAAAATGCCTATACGTGTAATACATACTGCATACCAATTTCATACTAACACAGACATTGACTAGAGTGTGACAAAGCAATTCCTCCTAAGTGATCTAGATGCTCTGAGCTGCTCTGACTGCCTCCATAGTCTTTTTCGTGTTGGCAAAGGCATTGTCTGAACTCCGCAGACAATCGGCATAACCAATCCATGACACCAAAGCACACATTTCAGATTGTGAGATATCAAAACTGATCCAAGATCAGCAAACCTTCAGCCGTAAGGAAGATGACAACTACAGGTTGCAACCAAGTCCCTCGTGATAAACCAGGCAACTCCCCAACCAAAATGAAAAACAACAGGAACAAGAATAAGCTGATAACATACTTTTCAGAAGAAAAATGCAAAGCCTTTTTCCACAAATAATCAGAAGTGGTTGCAGTTTTAGACATTTGATTGTTGCATGACTCTTAATCTATTAAGGCTATAGCTGGCACAGAATCCTGAATTGAAGGCAGAGGAAGGGAAGTCTGTCATCCAAAGTTTACCATTCCCCCGTTTCAGAGTGGCGTGTTCCAATGTGTGCCTGGAACACCAAACCCGGCCACACATACTGTAAACATGGGGCATACCTGATTTCATACATATAGCCTAGATATGCAGTAAATATAAATTTACATCTAGCACATTTCTTGGAATTCAATGTGATAGACTCTGCTCAAGATTGCGATAAAAAAAAAAACACACATGGGTTGTATTTCTTTGTTTTTCAGTCCCCCCTCCCCATGTCTGAAAAAGGGAACAACAAAAAAAGAACTTTGCAAAAAACCTCATAGACCCCAGAGGTGACATAAAGTAATAGGTACTGCTGACAGAATAAAAATGAAGGATGATTATTCTTGATTTAAATATATAATTTTACACCTCATCTAATCACAACAAATTAAGCAACTTAACTAAAATTACATTCTCAGGCATGGGCAAGTAAAGAGGGGTTTTCGTGCATTTTTCCCCAATTGAGTAATAGCTAACTGTTCCTAATTTTTTTATTTCTTAGCATCTTTTTCCTAGTTTGACTTGGACATATTCAAGTTTATATATCTCAGTACGGCAGCTTCTGAAACTGACCAAGACCGGTGTAGGCCTAATTTTTTTACACGTATCTTTTACATGAATTGTTACTCAAAATTTTAACATAATAATCGCTGGAAATTTAAGGCTTACTCCGGGTCATTGTAGCATATATATTTATTTAGTCAGTCAGTCAGACACACAGACACGTTTGTCCAAAACGACGTATGAGTGAGGCACATAAAACGACTGAAGAGGCTAGGTTCAGTTCATAACCCCCTACTCACAGAAAAAATAAAATGCATTTATTTTATTTCGTTTTATTTTAATTTTTCCCCAAAAAATACGGCAGGCCACATCACACGAAACACAATACTTTCAATCACAAATTGAGTGATACCGGAATTCCGAAGCTCTTATCCTACTGTACCTTATTAAGGTCTGGTTGCGAGAGCACTGCACGCAGGCGTTTCGTTGACTTCGGAAACACTCTGCTATCAGATGCAAGCACAAACATCCTAGCTCCGAGGCCAGCTCCTGTTGGTTTAGAATACGGATCTCATCAAATAGCTTTGATAAGACCTCCATCATCGTCCGGAGAACATCTTTTTCCACGCAGCATCTGAAACAGATACAATTCGCTTGCTTAGGTTGCATGGGAATAAAAACATATTGTTAAAAAAAACAACGAAATTCCTAATTTAGATATTATTACGGTTCTGTTACTACAAAAATACGACAGTAAAAGGTGTCCTATAGGAAGAATAACTCCGTGTAAAAATAAAAGAAAAATAAATAAGCCTGACTGAGTCAACTGTCAAGTGAATCCGAAGGGCGCGTTTCCTGTGGTAACTAGGATGCTATTTTCCCGTCAAAGAAGAGGTAAAAGACGACTGTCATTACACCAATAAGTGAAATCCGTTCTATGATGTGTTAGTATACCAAATGCTCAAGTTCAAATTAGGTAATTTGCACACTATATTTCATGTTCACAAACTACCGTTATTTGTGAAAAGAAATAATTTATTACCTAAACTCCGGCTCCCGAAAAGCCTTCGTTAAACTTTGTAAAATGTACAAGTGTCTATCATCAAAGTCTTCATTATTAACTTCATTAAGTTTGACAGAGAAATCCATCACGTTTTCAGCGGGCGCCGCCATCTTTGTTGTCAGTTCGAGTTCCCGTATGTTTTCTGTAATACCATTGGCTGATAGCAAAGAGGCGGCGACGCAGTATATTGCTGTTCACTCATTCGCGGTGTAATATTTTCAGAGCGTGAATTTCCATTTGTATACATGTAATTTGTATATTTGAAAATATTTAACTGGTATTAGAAGCCGATTGGGCTTGTTTGCAAACGTATTAAAAACCATAAAACCCACATAAAACGGACGCATATCCCTATCACCAGCTAAAATAGGTCCTTCAAATAGAAACTCAGTGGGACTTTGTGGTTAGAATAACTTCCAAATCATAACCCATTAAATCATTAGGATGATTACGCTGTGTACCGTCACTGTGATGAAATTTAAACTGTCGTAATTTTAAAATTTCGCTCTATAAAGTGACCATCATATCAAAACACACACACTGCTGGAGAAAAAAATTGGGCAAACACGGCTTTCGCGTGTTCTCTGGAGTTATGAGTCACGTTGGGAGCTGCGTGCCGATGGTTCCGAACGCTGTCTTCATAGGTCAAGTGAGAAATTCGACCCCAAATGCCTGTCCACCATTGTGAAACATGGCGGAGGTGAGATAATGGTATTGGGGTGTTCGCTGCATCTGGTATTGATGAGTTGGTGCGATGTGAAAAGTCCATTAACGCAAATGAGGACCAAAAGATATTACGGATAAGGTTGCTTCCAAGCTTAAATAATTTGTGTAGTGAAAATGACTGACGAGACCATTTTCCATCAAAATAATGCACACACAGCAAAAACAACAAATTCATGGTTGGAATGCCATTCAATTAATTACAGTGATATTTTGGCTTGGTCAGTCACCAGATCTTAACCCCATAGAGAATATATGGGCGCTTACCAAGGCCAAACAGAAAATTTAGGAACAACGACTAGCTGTGGGAAACAGTCAAACAGGAATCTAACACACTGCAATAGGCTGTCAGATAGCTTGCTCAAAAGGCTGAGTTTTATCAAGAAAAACAAGGGGAAAGGTAAAATTACCCACCATGTGTATTTTACAGTCCAGCATTAGACCTCCTGGTGTTTAGGTGTTAGGTTGTGTCAGTCCTTTTAGGAGCTAAATTAAAGAACAAGCAAGCAAGTCTCCCCATCTTTTGTTGCTGCCGCACTACCCAGGACCTTCAGACACTACAATATATACATACAAACATGTTTCCAAAATAGCTGGAAAACATAAATTAAAACAATGCAATAATTTACAAATCAACATGAACCCATATGTAATTGCAAATACAACAAATACAACACATCAAATGTTGAAACTGAGAATTTTTTTATCACAAATATATGCTCAATTTGAATTTGATGCCAGCAACACATTTCAAAAAAGTTAGGACAGGGGCATACCCCATGTGTTGCATCTTCTCTCCTTTTAACAACACTCTGTAAATGTTTGGGAATTAAGGAGACCAGTTGCTGGAGTTTTGAAACTGAAATGTTGTCCTATTCTTGCCCGATATAGGATTTAAACTGCTCAACAGTTTTGAGTTCCCTTTGTCATATTTTTCATTTCATGATGCGGCAAAGATTTTCAAAGGGTGACAGATCTGGACTGCAAGCAGACCAGTCTAGCACCCGGACTCTTCTACTACAGAGATATGCTGTTGTAATACATGCAGAATGCGTTTTGGCATTGTCTTGCTGAAATATCCAAGGCCTTCTCTGAAAATTAAGTTGTCTGTATAGCATTATATATTCCAAAACCTGTATATATTGTTCAGCATTAATGGTGCCTTCCCAGATGTGCAAGATACGCAAGCCATGGGCACTAATGCACACCCATACATCACGGATGCTGGCTTTTGACTGCCCGCTGATAACAAGCTAGATGGTCCCTCTCCTCTTTAGCCAGGAAGACGCAGCATCCATGATTTCCAAAAAGAATTAAAAATTTAATTTATCAGTAGACAGGACAGTTTTCCATTTTGCCTCATCCATCCATCCATCCATCCATCTCCTACTGCTTTTCCGGGTCGGGTCGCGGGGGCAGCAGTAGGAAAACCCAGACTTCCCTCTCTCTGGCCACTTCGTCCAGCTCCTCCGGGGGAATCCTGAGGCGTTCATAGGCCAGTCGAGCGACATAGTTTCTCCAGCGTGTCCTGGGTCTTCCCCGGGGTCTCCTCCCAGTGAGACATTCCCGAAACACCTCACCAGGGAGGCGTCCAGGAGCCATCCTGACCAGGTACTCGAGCCACCTCATCTGGCTCCTCTCGATGCGGAGGAGCAGCGGTTCTACTCTGAGTCCCTCCCAAATGACCAAGCTCCTCACCCTATCTCTAAGCGAGGGCCCAGCCACCCTGCGGTGGAAACCCATTTCGGCTGCTTGTATTCACGACCTCGTTCTTTCGGTCACTACTCACAGCTCATGACCATAGGTGGGGGTAGGAACGTAGATCAACTGGTAAATCGAGAGCTTTGCCTTTTGACTCAGCTCCTTCACCATGACAGACTGCTGACGCCACACTGATCCACCTGTCAATCTCCTGGTCCATCCTTCCCTCACTCGTGAACAAGTCCCCGAGATACTTAAACTCCTCCACTTGGGGAAGGACTCCCAACCCGGGAAGAGCACTCCACCCTTTTCCGGCTGAGGACCATGGTCTCGGATTTGGAGGTGCTGATTTTCATCCCAAGAATTTGAAATTCACACTTGACTGCAAACTGCTCCAGTGAGAGCCGAAAGTCACGGTCCGATGAAGCCAACAGAACCACATCATCTGCAAAAAGTAGAGACCTAATCCTGAGGTCACCAAACCGAACACCCTCAACGCCCTGGGTGTGCCTAGAAATTCTGTCCATAAAAGTTAGGAACAGAATCGGTGACAAAGGGCAGCCCTTTCCGGTGGACCCTCCTCTGCAGGACCCCTGAATAGACCTTACCAGGGAGGCTGAGGAGTGTGATCTCCGTATAGTTGGTACATACCCTCCGGTCCCACTTCTTGAAGAGGGGGACCACCACCCCGGTCTGCCAATCCAGAGGCACTGCCCCCGATGTCCACGGGATGCTGCAGATGCGTGTCAACCAGGACAGCCCTGCAACATCCAGAGCCTTGAGGACCTCTGGGTGGATCTCATGCATTTTGCCTCAGTCCTTCTTAAATGACCTTGGGTCAAGAGAAGTCGAAGGTGTTTCTGGATCATAGTTAGATATGGTTTCTTCTTTGCATAGTAGAGTTCCTGCATTTGTGGATACAGTGCCACAAATGATGGCCTCCAATATCAAGGGGGCCGGCCATGTCTTGGTCTCCCTGAGAGGGAGACGGGGGCACACTATTCCTGGCTGCCATGATGGCCCACTCATGTCTTCCCCATTTTTTCCTGGCTGTTTTCCCCCTGTCTCCTTTAGTTTGAATCCCCTGATGCCTTGCCCTGTCTTGATTACCCTGTACCCAATTTTCATGTCTCAGTCTTGGTGGTCTGTCCTTAGTCTGGTCTTTGGTTGGTCCTAATCATGCTGCCTTTGGCCCTTGTGTCTGTGGTTGATTAGTCTCTATTGGAGGTTTTGGCCCCTGGTCTGTTCCCCTGTGATGATGGTAGTGTCCTTCTGTCTGCATCTGCATGTCATGGTGTGTTAGTTCCTAGTGTTGCCTGCATTTGTTTTATTCACATGGTTATGTCTCATGTCTGATCTGATGCCCTGTTTGGTCCTCCCATCAGTCTGCCCCTCTTTCTGTGGTTCTTCCCTGTCGCTCCTGTGTGTGTGTGTGTGTGTGTGTGTGTGGTGCTGGCTTTGAGTGTCCTGTGGCTCGTCCATTGCTCGTGCCTGTCTAGCGTTTGGCCCTGCCTTGTCCAGATCTGTTGGTGTCTGCCCTGATGTGTCCTACTCATGTCCTGTCTTGCGTTTTTGCTGTCTCCTGCCTGTCCAGTTAATCCTTTGTTCCAGTCCCTGCCTATCCTTGACCCCTGTCTCAGCGTCTTTCTTGTCTGTTGTCAGGGCAGTTTCTGGCCTGTTTGTGCCTGTTTCTTTGCGTTTCTGGTCCTACACTTTGTCTGTCTTTTACCCTGGTGCTGGGTCCCTTTGTCCCTTGCCCTGTTGTATGGTCTCTGTAGGTCCCCTCCTCGGTCAGCCTCGCATGCCCAGATTACATGTGTTGGGGGGGGACGGTACTGTCATGCCCTGCATCCCTTCCTTGTTCTCTCCCTTATGTGGCCCTAATGAGTTGCTTTTTTAATCTTACCTCTGGTTACAGCCCTCATGTGGATCACCCCAGGTGCCTCTTGTCTGCTCCCTCATATGCCCTGTATAAAGCGTCATTTAGTCCTGCACCCCTAGTCCAGTCATTGATGTTACTATCTGTGTGTGCAGTCTTGAGTATGCCCTGTGTCTTGTGTTCCTGCTTGTTTCTCCTCTCCCTTTTTTGTCCCCTCGTCCATTTAATTTGCCCTGTCTGTATTGTAATCTTCTGCCCTTGCCTCCATCCTTGCCCTTGATGTGACAAACACGTTATAACTTAATATACAAAATAAGTGCTTTTAATAATAGCTGTAATTATTTATTTAATGGTTTAGTTCTATAAAAATGTTAAGTAATAAATTAATTGCATTACACAAAATTAAACAATATTAAGCAATGAGCTTTTTTTTAAACTTTTATCCTTTGTGGATTTATTTTGGCAGCAGACATTGATGCTCGTCTAGGGTGCTACATGAGCTAGGAACAGCCCTGGGTAGATAGATCACAGTCTAATGCAGCTAGCCTCCTTGGCTGTTAAGTTTGATAATTTTTCACATGAACAAATAATATTGGGGAAATAGGAGGGGGACATGGTTCAGTCAGTCTTTCAGTTCAAGCCATTATGGCATTCATTACATATGAGTTTTTAATATAAGCAATATTTTTGGAGTAAGGATGTTTCTTTAGAGCACAAAAGGAAAAAAAAACATTCAAAATTCAAAGGGACAGTACTTAAACAGCATCTTCCAATACTTCAAAAGGCACCTCCTCTCCCTTTGAAATATTGCCAGCATAACCACATCTTTTGAGTATGAGCCCTATAGATATATGCT